ACGATCAAGCTTCTTTATTGTGCAGTCACTTTCACGAACTTATCTATGGAAGTATGTATAAAGAACAAAATGAAAAATTTAGTAGCAAATTAATACACGAGTTCATAATGAGACTTATCAATTGCGACAAAACTAATGAAGTTTGGGTACAATTAGATGATCGTGTGGCCCGTTTTAGCATCAAGAATTTTGTCTAATCACACTGGATTACCATGCTATGAAGTTGTTGTTGATCTCAATTTTAGTAATATTCGACTTAGGGATGAATACTTGAATGGTACAAAAAGAATTACTATGAAAAGAGTCTTTCTGAAGTATTTCAAATGTGTCAAGATCGAGAAGATAAATTCAAGTTAGGATTAGTTATGTTCGTTGAATGCGTTTTAAAACCAAATGGAAGGTACATTGATTTTAGAACTCTTGGAATGGTTGAACAACTTGATGAGTTTATTATGTACCCATGGAGATGTAAGGCATACTTTGTTTTATTAAATTCATTGCAAAAATCACACCTCAAAGGAGTACGAAGGATACAACAAAATGACCAAATAGATTGTAATCATATAAAAACTTCAATATATTTTTTTTACTTTTATTTCAGTATTGGATATATGAATCTTTTCCCCAAATTGGACGACAATTCGGACGTCGTACCCATGAAATCTTACAGTGTCAACAAATGCATAAATGGAAGCCCAAAATAATATTAACGGAACAAATTATTAAACAATTTTAGGCTACTCAAGAGGGATGATTTATTTCAATTTACAATTAAATATGTATTTAATTATTTATAAATAAATTTAAAAACATAAATCTAATATTTTATTACAATTATAGATTGAAGTAATTGCCGTATTTAATCTTACTGAAGAAGAATTAGAAACATTTTGGTATACAAATCTTTCACTACCGGCTGACAACCATTATCGTATACTAGATGACATTGTTAATGATGAATTCGACAATGTAACACAACAAATTCTAGCTGATAACATACATATGCAAGAAACAACTATAGGCACCTCATCTGGAATTGAATCTACTTTTTCGGGTAGCTCAAACTATGTAACTAAACAAGATATGGATCAAATGTTCAACATATATAGACAACAAGTAGTGTCAGATGTATTTGATTTCTATAATGGATTAAAAACACAACTGATTGAAGAATCAACAAAACAAGAAACTCATTATCATGCAATTCTTGAAAAACAAGAAGCTCACTGCCAAATGATTCTTAACAATCAAAAGCAATTTTTTGAACATCAGCAAAAAAGCCAACAAGTCTACTTCCAGGGCATGCAATCTTATGTGGATACCAGTTTCAGTTCAGGAAATCTTACATTGATGAAAAAAAAATCAAAGTATGCAGAATCAGTTAACCAACTAGAAATTACACATGGAAACGATTGTCAGCTCTATACAACAAGATGTACCTCCTCATATAAGTCCAATTGAATTTGAAATTCCTTCAACATCTAAACATATTGAAGACGTGAAAAGGTCAATGAAAAAAAAAGGTAAGCAAAAACAGACACAATATTCATTAACAATGCCTACTAATACTTTAGAAGACTATAACATCGACAAGTATTAAAACATTAGAAAATGGATATTACAAAATCCATCAGGGTAAGATATTCAATTTTACCTTGTTAACTTCAATATTATAATTTGTATTTTACTCATTTAACACTAATTTAAATTCTCTTATACAACGCATATTGGAACGATAGAATCGACAATCTATACGGAAGACAATTGCTAGAAATTATACTAGATGAAATGAAAAATATAAATATTGTGGTAAGTAAAATTTAGTAATCATAATTTATTTTTCTCCATTATTAATATATCTAATTTATATATTTTTTTACTAGCATATTGATATAGAATTAAAGCTATTGAGAAGACTTATTACCGACGATTCTCCCCTACTTTTTAAAAAATATGCAATCATGGACCTTAGATTCGAAATTGTATGTGTTCACTAGTGTACAAATATGAAAGAAGGAATTGACCATTCTACAACTAATTTCAACGCATTACAACAATACATAAAAGGAGAATTGCCCATATCTGCTCGGCCATGGATACCATACAACTATTTATTAATTCCATCAGCATATCCAGGCAATACTTTGTTTCTTTTTCTTATTGATTTTCGAAAGTGAAAATTTTATATATATGATTGCAGCCACAACATTCATACATTGGAAGAAATCAGAGCACGTGCAGAACCAATATTGACTATAGTTCAATCATTATTAATCTCTGTAGACATTTTCTTCAACAAACCAAGATTAAGAAAACATAGAAATAAACATATGAAATTGGAAATCATACCGTATCTACCTTGTCAAAAGAATGGGTAAGAATCTCAACAATTTACTATAATATTTAATTTTCTATTTAATTTTATTTTATATTTACAATATTAGTACAACCTAACTTCAAACTATTTTTTCTATAGGCCAAACTCTGGAGTTTTCCTTCATAAATACATAGAATGCTTCATTTTCGAATATCCATTAGAATCAGTTTCACCAAAGAAGATAAGTTCATATAGACGAAAAATTGCAACAAATATCTGCCACGATGAATATTTTTTACGTCCCCGTTTATTCTAATTCTAACGAATTATCAAAATACAGTAAGATTCCTCTATTAAAATTCAATGTATAATCTTATATTTATAACTTTAAAATTGTTTATTTTAAATATTTCTGTACATGGGAATAAATATAGGTTATTTGATAGCAAATATGAAACACTATACCATTAGTACGTATCCATGCAGGGTTCTCAATTAGATTGAGCATTGAGCAAAAGAATGGAGAAATTGATATTCTATGTTTCATGGTTCCTCATTGTTTTGTTAAAACTATTTACATAATGTCTAAGGATCCGTTTGGTATGGCTTTTTGCATCTGCATCTGCATCTGCATCTGCATCTGCATCAGAAGATAGAAAAAGAAAAAATGTAAATCCGAGACGTAAAAATTGGGGAGTCGTTTCTGAGATGGTGATGAATTGTCACCATCTTGGGTGTCCTTTGAACCAGTTCTGAAGAGCAAAGCAGCCAGGACTTGGCCTATGCTCTAAAGCCTCGAATGACATTCTCAAAGTGAAAATTCTTGGTACTATTCAAGCACGTCTCATATAAGGTTATCGATATGATCAGTCGGCATATGCAGAAATTTTAGCTTTTGCTTCGATACTAATGCCATAGTACCATTTATCTTACCAAACAAGTCCTTTAACGAAAGGGACTTAACCTATACCCTAAAGCCGGGGTGTTCCCAAAATGAAAATTCCTATTTTATTCAATACCATTCAAGTACGCCTAGTAGATATTATTTAATATGGTTGGATAATGAAATAATAAAATTTTAACATTTTTCTCCGTTAAGATTTTATTAAGCTCCAGTTTGGTTCACATTATTTCTTCATGAAAATGAAAAATATGATCGTTATCTATCATATCGAGTCATCAAATTTGAATTTCTATCTCTTGTGTAAGGCTCATAAAGTTTTTACAGACAAAAAATTACAACAGATATCTGTCACAATGAATATCTTTTACGTCCCTGTTTATCCTAATTCTAACGAATTATCAAAATACAGTAAGATTCCTCTATTAAAATTCAATGTATAATCTTATATTTATAACTTTAAAATTGTTTATTTTAAATATTTCTGTACATGGGAATAAATATAGGTTATTTGATAGCAAATATGAAACACTATTTAACACATGAGATTTCAAAGTGTCGGAGTCACATTTTATAAAGGAGCAAATTATTGTATTTTGATGACGGTTAGCATCAATAATTTCTCAATAAGGTTGGTAAATCTATTAAACCGTTCTATAATTTTAATGTTATGCTTTTTTAACTTTTTCCATTACACATTTATCTATTGCATTAATTAACACTTCTGTAGCTTTAATTGCTTCTAAAGTTAAATTTTACTTGTTCATTATTCACGCATTTTTGGATAAATTGCAATAATTATTTATCTTTTGTTTAATTTATCTTTTTTGTTATTCAATATTATGTTTCAACTTTCATACATGCTCTGCTTTTGGATCAATTTCTTTCTTCACAACTAAATCAAACCTTGAAAGGAAAAAATTATATTATAATCAAACCTATGTATATCTCCAATCATACATATGCTTCATACCCATTCTCTATTGTGTGTTTCAAATTATTTCAATGAATTTTGTAAATAGATAAAATTACTGACTTTTTCTAATCTTTCGTTCAATTTCTCTATTTTGGCATTCAATTTATATTTTGGCTCTTTGAACTATTGCTTGTAATTTTGTTTCTTTCGAGATAAATATTTTTAAGTCAATTTTAGTTTAGTTTTTATTTTCTTTTTATAAAGAACTTGTTGCCTCTACCTCTATCGTATTCTGTACAGAAGGTGACATGTCCTTAGTCGATCAAGTATTTGTTTTGCGTGGTTTTAGAAAGTTGCGCCATTGGCTTTTGTTTGAAGGTAAAATCTATGATATGAAATACGATTTTTCTTTTGTTCTTTCTAAAAGAAACATTTAACACTTCTTTCTTCTTGTGATTTCTTAAATGCAAATAAAATTCCAATTTGTTAATGTTAAAGCCTATGTCTTGCAGACATCCTTTTATTGAGCAAAAAAAAAAAAAAAATGGTGGAATCAGCTTTGATTTTTTGTGAAAATGAATATTCTTTCTATTTATCTTGGTTTTTAACTACTCATATGAATGTATCTTTTCATTTATTTTTGTTTTTAACAGCTCATATGAATGTATCATTTGTATATATTACCTTATGCATTTTAAATTGAAGTGATTGATGTCACATGGCTAAATACCTATGTAAGATTATAATTTTTTTCTTTTAAATTTCGAATTTACTTGTCTTGTCAATACTTGGTGCTTAATTATCTCTCATCGCTATTCTTTAATATATGACTGAAGAAAATCATGAGAGATATTGTGTACCAAATCTTGAGTAGAATTTCAACAAAGGATATGATGAAAAGAATGTTGTACAAAATCTGCACCAAGCTTGCTTTTTAAGATATCCAATGAAAGTGGAAAACTACGGATTTTGTCTGATTATGTGCAGGTTTTGCAATTCATTGTCCAAAGAAATAGTACAAATACAGTAAAGTTTGTGCAGATGAAGTAATCTATTCACTTGGTATGTTGGCGGCTTAATGGTTGGCGAAGTGGTGGTTGATGGCAGTGGGTTCATTGGATCTCTGCACTGCTCGGAGTTCCCGCAGCTGATTTCAAACTGGATTCCACTGAATCCAACCTTGTTCCCATCCTCAGCAATCGTACTCGCTCTAAGGTATTTATAATTGGGTATCCTCAACCTTGCGTAGTTTTGAAAATAGTAGGATTATTTTTAATTGGATGTCGTCATAAACATAGTTCTATTTCTTTCTTTCTTTCTTTTATTTTCGGTTTTATGTGATCGTTCCTTTCATTGAAACTTTTAATCGGGCGGTCAGAATTTTGGATTTATAACAACAATTCGAAAGGATAATATCGTCTGTGATCTTATGGTATTGATTAACTATTTAGCACAATAATGCTCTTATTTTTAAATTTATAATGTGTGGCCAAAGTTTTAGTGATTCCACTACTTCATAATACCGATTTTCTATTTGACAAATGTAATGATGAATCTATGAATTTCTTCAAAAATAATGGACATCTTAGATTAGATTTTATCAGAAGGACATGAAAAATGAAGATGGTGGTTTGATTGATGGGATCCAATTGACATGCATCGCCGGAAAATAGGATTGTTGAGTTGGAATTCATTTATTAGGATAGATGATTATTCTTTCTTAAAATCATAACATTTTTTTTATAACATAATCTGTTATTTTTTTTCATAAGAGGTCTCCGAGAGACAACTCTCACCCACGAAGTCATGAGTCATACCCTTTATTATAAAATTATATTCTTTGAGTGTTGCTTCACGTACACGGTACGGGTTCACATACCAAATACTCATAGCATCGAGGGTGGGTGAAGTTTTTGGTAGTTTTTTTAGGTGTGAGTGTTGGAAACCCCTATGTACCCCGTTAACCCAACAAAATTCATATTCTTTCTGGTTTCTTCTTGGTTCTTTTTTGACATTATTAAGTGGTTCCATGCTTTCAAATTGCAATACATATTTTACTCCTTTTTCGAGGAATGAGAATTTTTCGGATTTTATATGATTTATAAGAGATTCATGTGTCAATTAAGCCATATTTGCTTCAATTTAAAAAGTGAAATTAAAAATAAATTAAAATTAATAATTTAATTTTAACCACACATTTCTAAAACTCTAATTTTATCTAGGATTTATTTTCACCATACTTGATGGAAAATATCAAAAACAAAGGAGACTTTGTGCTTTTTGTGTGATTCTTCCATTCTAATGCTAGCTATTGTGGAAAATATGATTAGAGTATTAGAAAGATTAGAGTTCTACGGTTATGTCGTGAATGTTATATTTAACATTCCTCTCAAACTCACAAATTACTTGAACTTCAAAGGCGTCTAGATACATCCGCCCTAGAATACTAAGTCCACGTTTGACCCCATTATTTGAATTTATAATAAGGGGAATAGTATTTTTTTGAAAATTGTGTGGCTGAAAAGTTTTCGATTTGAGTATAATATTAATTTATTGAAAATTGTGTGGTTAAAAGTAGGAGAGAGAAAAAATTAAATTAAATTGAAGAATTTTAAAGGGAGCGAAACGGGGAGTAAAGGTCTATAGTTAAATAGTCAAAAACTATTTATATGATTGAGAAGTTACTTTTGACATATATAGATAATTTCTTGAAAGTGCTTTATTTGATTAAATAATTTCTAGAGGAAGCTCGCCTAATATAACTTTCTCGAATAATTCTTATACAAAAATAGAAGTAGAAGCAACAACCCTACCAAACAACCCTAATTTTTTTTTTTTTTTTACTTATTTCTACAATTATTATCTATCTACAATATATTTTTTTTCATAAGAGGTCTCCGAGAGACAACTCTCACCCACGAAGCACTCTTTTCAATTTCTCATTTTCAAATTAAAATTTTTGAGCTTCTGAATTGATTTTTGGCTTTGAAGGACCTGAGAAGGAAAGAGGAGGATGTCACTGACACCAGACCATTTTCGTAAAGTAGGAACAAGGGTTTTGCCATCTTCATCACCCTTTTTTACGCTGCGGCCTGAGAGGCTAAGCTTGATTCAAGAGGGTCTGAGTAGAACTCAAATTGTCAGGACAAAGATAAAGAGGTCAACGTGCATGTGAATTTTTTCCAGATTTAATTTATTCACTCTTTCAATGTTTTTACAGTAAATTAATTATAGATTTCTGTTTTTAGGTTTTAATTCACAAGCACGGAAATTTATATTAAGGTAGGAAAGTTGAAATCTATGAAAAAATTATGCAAACATGTTTCCCACTTTGGTTGGGCCTAAATTTGCCAGTAAATCAATAATGTTACAAATGAGGACTCCATTTGGGAACTCATCTTTTCGATTTTGTTTAAATTGTATGATGTACTATGTTAACTATTTTGTTTGAATTTAATTTTAGGCCATTGAGTGATGGTGAACAGAGGGCGAATGTGCCTAAGGTTATCACTCGCAACGAAAATAAACGACAAGTCATTGTTTTGTAAGGCCTAGCTGACAAGCAACTGCTTTTCCCAAAAATTTAAGCGAGCACGTCTAGGAACTCTGGGTCTTTTAAAGATCAAAGAATTTAGTATTGTAACCAAGGATTAAGATTTTCTGTTGGGTTTATCTTGAGATTTCTTCAAATCTTCGATTTTCATCGAAATTCTAATCCGGGAATAGCCCAAATTGCTTTAGCGCTGTAAATTTCAGAAGCGTGAAGGATTTTGGCAGTTATATATGAACCAGCACTCAAAACCAGCCACAAGACATTGGCATTTTGTTGGCACTTTGTGTAGTATTCTGTGCTTGGTATACTCAATGTTCTTCAACTGGCGGTGCCTAATTTTCATGCCCTTGTTTTGGTATTGTTTGGCATGGTATAGCCACTTCTTTGTTGAAAGGAATGTTCTAGCAACTTTCGGGCATCCCTTCTCATCTCTACCATGTGATTGGAAGATGTTTGGTCAAATGGATAGAGAAATCAAGAGGCTTGGTAAGAGGCCTATCTTGCAAGCCTACTGATTTTCTGATTCTAGTTTGTTTAGAAGATATAGTTTTAATAGCATGTGAATCCTTTTCTATTTTGTTTGAACTTTCTATATTGCCTTTTTTGTTCCTCTTTTATGGTCTTCACCATCACTGCAATCACACCACCACCAACACCATCATCGCAAACACAACAACGCACCAGACACATATCTGTGCAGACCACCACACACATGTACACACAATCACATAACCACCAAAACCTTTGAACCCATCCATCGCCATCGATAAAAAAAAAAAAATCTCCTCAACACCCACTCACCTTTGATTGGAGGCTCAGCCCCTCATGTAGACCCACATCCTAAAATCAGCAAAGACTGTTTACAAGTTCGTATTTTCCAAGGGATTTGATGTTGTAAAGATATTAGATACACTTGCTCAGTTTTATCCAGATGTCATTCTACCTAATATCAGACAAACTTTAACTGTTTAAATATTTTTCATGTAAGGTGCAATAAAGAGATTTTGATAGTAGTTTTAAAAAAGATTTTCCTCTATCCCCTCTTTCATCACTTGAAGCCATGTATTTGCTTTTCAGTGGCCCACTGTGTCCATTAATTAAATTGTTAATTCTTGTTATTCCCAATTCATCCTATCCTTCCGTTATGCTAGTAGTTCTCAAGTTATTATACATGATTGTGCTATTTGAATGTTCAGCCAAGCTTTTTTGTCTTGGGCATTTACATTATCAAATATGGTCGTTTTTTAGGCTTTGGACAAAGAACAACAGGATACTATGCAAAATACTTATTTATATCTATATTTCTTTAGGAAACAAAATCTCCATTCTTCTTTGTATAATAGTTATTGTCAAAAGCTTTGACAGTTCTTGAAACAACAAGCATTAATGATGCTTGTGTCGTTAGATGGCTGCTCGTACAATTAATGTCTTATTGCTAACTGATTCAAATGCATTATTGTGTTAAATCCTGACTAGTAGGGTATGACTTCTATTGCACATTTAGTAAATTTGAAGCAATTAAAAGTTTAGATCTTTCTCTTACTCTTGCTTATCTTTCTTTTTTTTTTCATTGAAGGATACCACTACAAAAGTTGTTGCTTGTGAAGTTAATCTCGATAAAACGACTGTTTAAAAACTCATAACAAAAATTATTATTTTGAACTGCTTTCAATATTTCATATCCAATGTTAACATATTTTCTACTTTTCTTTGTATAATTAGCTCTTTATCTTTACTGTTTTTTTGTCAGACTTTCTTATGCACCAACTAAATACTTTCTTCGCTTCCCAAAAATTCATTCAATGTGATTCTCTCTTATGAATACTCAATACTTAAGTCAACACACTAATATCACCTTCAAGAAAATTCAAGCCATCATTGCATGGCCAGAAACTAGTATAAAAAATAAGAGACAAACCCACGTAGAGTTGTATGATTGCCTTTAGTAGTGAAAAGGAAGTTGGATTCAACAAAATTTGAATAAGGATCTGAATTTGGACAACGGTTCCATCGTATGTAACATAATACCCCCGTTTGCCCCCCCCCCTCCCCCCATTCTTTCCAAATTTTAGTGGTTGGAATAATGTGTTTTTCAAAATTGTGTGGTTGAAAAAGAATGAAATTTTTTCAATTTGCATATAAGATTATTTTATGAAACATTGTGTGGCTAAAAATAAGAGAGAGAAAAATAACGAAAAAGAAAAATGGGGGCCAAACAGTATTATATGTACAAAATCATATAACAAAGCTGTAATAGTTACACAATACATTGCCAAAAATAATAAATAAATAAAATTAAAATTTGGAGCAATAGTTGTTTTCGTATTCTTATTTTTAAAGTAGATAGAGTATTTGTGAAAGAGTAATGCTATTTAATCTTATTGGAGTTATAATTTATATTTAAGTGGCGTTAATGTGACATTAAATGATAAGTGAAATTAAATAAATTATTTAATTTCACATTTTATTCAATCTATCATCTAACGCCACCTAGACTGAAATTGTAATCTCAATGGGGTTTCATAGCATTATTCTTTGTGGGGAAAAATTGCCTACAAACCTACATTTAAAGACGAATTTTCATAAATAAGGGAAATTAATTTTAATTTCGTAAATCAGGTGTTAGTTAAGAATTATTAATTTAATTAATACGGATTTATTGGCAATCCCAAATTCATTTCTCTCCCTAGTCTTTCTCGATCTTTAAACATTCGCACCCATTCATCAAACCCTAATCCATTTCATCTTCTTATCTCTCTCTCTCTCTCTCTCTCTCTCTCTCTCTCATAACAGTCAAAAGACAATGATTAGAGGCCACCGTAGAAGCGAGTGTAGGCTACGACGATGACGTCGCTATGGTAGCGTGAGCGTCGTTGTACCCACTGTGCGAAGTGTGTAGGGGTGATGATGTCGTTGCGAGCAGTGTGAGTGCACTTCCATGATTTGGGAAAAATCTGATGGGGCGAGATTTGGGGAGAATCTGGAGGCTTGAGTAGTGAAGCGCACCCACTTTGATACCAGCAGATCTATTCTTTTTTTTTTTTCGAGTTTAATTTCTCCGATGCTATAGAGTCATAATTATGGTGATTGGTCCATTTTTATTTTTTGCTTTTTGAAGAGGTTTGGGATGGTGATCGCCACTGCAGGAATCAGGCAGTGGCAATGGCGTCGCATGCAGCGAAGATGGTGAGGTGGTAGAGTTTAGATTATGCGGTGTGTTAGTGTGTTATGTAATGGTACAGTGATGGTGTTTGCAGTTGTTGATCATGATGCAGATGTAAGTAATGGTGGTGATGTGTAGGTGGTGGTGGTGGGTGGTTTGTGGTTGTGGATTGATGTACAAGTGGTGGCAATGGTGCCTGTGGCATAGGTAGTACATAGTTGGTGGTGATATATCTAACGTTGTATGTGATATATCTAAGGTTGTATGTAACTTATCTATTGTTGGATCTTTCACGTAGTGGCAGTGGTATGGTGACGTCAGTGGTAGTGGTTAGGATTTGTTGAAAGTGATGGTGGTGTGCATTTGATTGATGTTGTTGGGAGTGATGGTAGTGACGATGAAAATCGAGTATGACCAAGTCTATCTTCATTGCAACTACTGTAACTGTATGTGACTTGGTTACATATAGACACAAATTAAATTGATATGGTCACAGATAGTCACACTAAAGACAAAGTTGGTCACAATTAGTCGCAAATAACAAATATCATTGAATGTAGTAAATTTGAGGTGAAAGTGGTAGTAACTGGTGGTGGATAGTGGTATTGGACTGCAATGTGTGAAGATTTGTTTATGGTGACTCTTTAAAGTCAAGCATGTATTTATTGTGAAAGTTGTGACTAATTCTATGTGAACTGTGATCGATTGTGATTTGATCACACATCACCACCACAGTAAATATTGAATTGGTCATAGAAAGTCACACTAAATATAAATTTGGTCACAATTAATCATAGACAATACATGTTAGTGACACACTGACTTGGTTACATACAATCTGATCATAGCTAGTCACAGATAACACAAGTATGGTCACAAACTATAAATCTAGTTACATATAACACAGTTAATCACAAAAACTCGTCAACTACAGTATAACACTAATGTCGTCATACAGTACTCAAAACGTTGCCAACACCTCACCGCCACCACAAAACAGATTAACTGCAATGCAACTTCATTACCTCCAATGCATTATCTCTACCACCATACAAATCTCTTTTTTAAACACAGCACCACCTCACCACCACCACTATCTGTAAAGTTTTTTATGTCTGAAAATGTATATATAGAGATAGAAGACGATTTTAATTTTTAGAACCGTCGAAGCGATGGTCGTAAAGACCATCGGAATGAACGTCTCCGATGGTGAGCTGGAGAGAAGGTGGTGTAGTGGGTGAGGTGGCATGGGTAGAAATATTAATATATATTATATTATATTTTAATATTTAATAAATTTATTTATCACCTTATTTTTAAAATATTTTAATGAGTTTGTTATTTATGATATGTGATTTTTAAAACAAAGAGTTATGTCAAAATCCTTTACTTTGTGAAAAGATCCAAAGTTTGAACCCGATTACCCATTTGGGCTGACATGTTGGATAATACATTGGACTAATAGTTTTTGGACGGCCCATATACCAATCCACTAAAACTAGGGTTTCCGCATTTAAAAACTCTTTTCTGCATCAAAGTTCACCCTCTTCACTCGTCTCTTTACAAGGCTGAAGCTAGAGTTTTCCGTTGTTCATACAGTAGAGCCGCCAATCATCTGCATTCTTCCAAGGTAAATGACCGTTTCTATTCAATCCTCGTATTTTCGTTTATTTTTAACTGGGCTCTTCTGTTATATTCTTGTACATGCAGTTCTGTTGGAATTTTATTCTTTTTCTTATACTCCATTTACATACGACTTGGTGTAAGAATTATATTGTTTTCCGGAGTCTTGTGAAACACGTTGCAATTCTATGTGAATGTGGGGGTAATGTTTAATTTTATTATTTTTTGTTTTTTGTTTTCGTAGTCATTGTTGGATTTCTACAATTAACAGTGTTTATTCCTGCCATTACAGATGGTTTATGAATGTTTATACGCCAAAAATGTCTTAGATAGAATTGTTGCTTTGCATATTCCAGATTATTGAGAATTTGAGTAGATCTACTTGTGTGATCTATGGTAGAATCTTAATTCTAATTGTGTGTTGAACTTATTTAAACAAATAATTATACGCTTTGCAATGCTTGATATGGTATTTTTGGTCCAAAATACTTTCAGATATACATGTTTTATATACAAAAAGAAATTTTTTGAAGTTCTCTCTTTTGGTTGAAGCTTTTGTATTTGACTGAAGTGAATGTGGCATCTATCATTAGGGAAGAACACCTTTAATTACGAGGGGAGTTTTTGAAGTCAGATACAAGCATTTGCCAAGCATTGAAAATTAATTTAGTTTTTGTTTATGCTGGAATAAACTTTCATAAATTCCCTGGTGTTGTCTGAAGATAAATCAATTTATGGGATTAAACCTTTGTTCCAAAATCAGATCTTTCAAGATGTTTACTGCACTGCAAAAGATTCACAAGGATAAGGATACAGAGCCTACCGAGTTCGAGGAGACGGTTGCCCAGGTACTCACTCAATAGACTTTTATTGCGATTATTTAATTGCACTGGTTATTTAAATGTGTCATGATTCATCAATTCTTGACCTTTCATCAGGCTCTGTTCGACTTGGAGAATACGAACCAAGAGATTAAGAGTGACTTGAAAGACCTTTACATCAATGCTGCCATGTAGGATTGTGTCAATCTCATGTAGGTATTATTGCTGCATAGCATGGTATTAATATATTCATTTTATTCTCCAGGCAAATTGACGTCTCTGGAAATAAGAAGGCCGTTGTGATCCATGTTCCTTACCGGTTGAGGAAAGCTTTCCGCAAGATTCATTCTAGGCTGGTGAGAGAGCTTGAGAAGAAGTTCAGTGGAAAGGTAATAATACGATTTTATAATGGACGACCTTGTAGTTTATGGTACTCAGATGATGGCAGAATTATCTTTATTTTCCAATATGGCAGCTTTTGCTTTTCGCTGAACAATTAAGCTACTTGTACATAAATTGTTTTACACCTTTGTTGATCGATACTGAGGTGGCATGCATTTTGGCCCTTGGTTTGATTATGTTAAACAATCTGTAAAGAAAATTGTTCAAGTAGCAAAGTCTGTCCTTGAATATGCATGACCCTTCTTCTGTGTGAAGTCAGTTTTTATTTTAAAAATTTGTAATTATGTGGCTAATTTAAATGAGAATCTTGTAAACTCTTGGGTGCATTTTCCATACATCAGCTTTCAAATAATAGAAGCGTTCTAAAATGTATTTTCAATCTGCTCACCCCAATTTGCATGTAAATTGCCGACAGGAAGTTGTTCTTATTGCTACCCGAAGGATAGTGCGACCACCAAAGAAGGGTTCTGCCGTGCAGAGACCACGCACTCGTACACTTACAGCCGTGCATGAGGCCATGCTTGAGGACATTGTTCATCCTGCTGAGATTGTTGGAAAACGTATCCGATACAGGCTTGATGGATCAAAGATAATGAAGGTACATGCTTCTTTTTTATTTTTTTTGATAACATTCTCGTGCCACTTCTAAAATTCTCGTACTTCTTGCAGGTTTTCTTGGATCCAAAGGCAAAGAATGACACTGAAAATAAACTGGAGACCTTTGCTGGAGTCTACAGAAAGCTTTCTGGGAAAGATGTAGTGTTCGAGTTTCCCATAACAGAGGCTTAAGCCATTCTTCCCGTTTTCCCGACGACTCTTTAGTAACGGAAAATTATATTTGCATTTGTATTCCTAATTTACGGTTTTGATCAATAGAGATTTTGTTTAATGGTCTTTGTTCATTAGGAAGCGAGAATTTGAACGGTAGGCAATTTGCTTGTTGGATACATGTTCTTTTTTGAGTATTTTTTTGCACACTGCTCTTCCTTATTGACCTGAAAGAATCTGTTACATTTTATTTTTTTAAGAGATGTTAAATGGGCAGCGTCGAGCCTTGGTTTGATCACCGTCGCTTTCGGCTCATGTTGTAGGTTCACCACATGTGGGCTGGATATGTCCTTGCGAGCTGTGATGTTTTCTTTTTTGGATTGAAAATTACACTTTCATTTGCTATAGAATAATGAAGTAAATTTATAGGGAACAGTAGACCTAAGGATTTAGGGTGCGGTTGGTTTGCGTTTTCATTTTCTATTTTAACGCGTTTGGTTTGTCATTTTGAAAAATGATTTCTTAAAACAGAAAATTAGAAAATGCGTTTAATTTAAAATTTTTAGAAATTGTTTTATGACATTTATTCAATTAATTTGATTATTCAGTAAAACATAATAATTTTAAACTAATACATTATTAGATAATATATGTTTTAAACTTGATAAATTTACTATTTTTTTCTTGCTACAAAAATAAAATAATAAATAATAAATATTTAGAATTTCTTTTATGACATTTATTCAACTAATTTGATTATTTAGTAAAACATAATAATTTTAAGTTAATACATTATCAGATAATATATATTTTAAATTTAGTGAACTTACAATTTTTTTTGCTACAAAAGTAAAATAATAAATAATAGATGTTAAGAAATTGTTTTATGACATTTATTCAATTAATTTGATTATTTAGAAAACATAATAATTTTAAGCTAATATATTATCAATTAATATATATTTTAAATTTGATGAATTTACTATATTAAAAGTACTATTGAGCATCCCTAAAAAAAAAAAAGGGCGTGTTTTGAGCGTTTTTCGTGTTTTGGGTTTTTTTAACTGAAAACACCCAAAAAAAAAAAAAAAAAAAAACAATCGTTTTGGATTTTCAGATATAAATTTTTCCTTATTTTCAGAAATTCATTTTTGGAAACGAGTGACCAAACGTGTTTTGGGAGTTTTTGAAAACTGAAAACAGAATACGGTTGGAAATCGGCAAAGGGAACGCCCCCTTATATTTCGATAAAAGAATTATAATGCTGTAAAAATTCTCCTAAAAGGTGTTTTGTCTACAATTTTTTTAAAAAAGATTAAATAAATACTATATATTAGCGAATAAAGAAATAATATATGGTAACCAAAAAAAGAAAAAAAAGAAATTGGATTCGTTTTTTTTCCTTACGACACAATAATAAAATTTGGATTTTCCGATTTGTTTCTATAATAAAGCATCTTTAAGTAATTCAAATTCACTCTTTATTGCATTTAATAATTCATATATTTCAACACTCTACTTTTTAAACTAATTAAAACACATTTAAACTGATTGGGTCAATTAAACATATAAAAAAAATTTGTTAAATAAATTATGAAAAGAAGTCAATGAATATTTTTTGAGAAAGGCAGCTGAATGGCCAAATCAAATAGTATTGTTGAAGTGAATAAAATTTTTTACTCTTTAAATTTATAAAAAATCTCTATAATGCATAAAATGTTCTTTCATAAATAAAGAGTATATTAGAGATACTCTTAGCCCCCGTTTGGCCCCATTATTTGAATTTATAATAAGGGGAATAGTATTTTTTTGAAGATTGTGTGACTGAAAAGTTTTCGATTTGAGTGTAATATTATTTTATTGAAAATTGTATAGTTGAAAGTGGGAGAGAGAAAAATTAAATTAAATTGAAAAGTTTTAAAGGGGACCAAATGTGGGCTTAATAATTTGCAATTGAACACCTTAAAAGATGTCAAGAGGTCGCCTTCATCTTGTTGAAATTATTAGCATACACAAACATGTGCTTTTACTATAGTTGTAGTTGTAATATTATTAAAGTCACGTGATGCATCTCAATCTTATATATTGCCTTCAATAATACACCTTATGTCTCTAAATGTCGATAAAGTCATGGGTGTTGAACAAGACTTAGGTTATTCTCAATAATATTAAATATTGATATCACTGTACATTTCACTATTGTAGAAGTCAGACCCTACAAATGTCTCGATTCATGTAAGTGCTTCAGGCATATGAGTTTCTCAAAAAAGGTTAATTTTATATAGTTTGAATTGGAGTATGGATTAGACAATTTATAGTCCTTTCTCGTGTCAAGCATATATTTGTCTTAAGGATAAAATTTAAATCATTTTGAATTAATTAAAACCAATGCTTAACCCACTCAATTTGAGACGAGGATTGGACACTGCAATTAGGAAAAAATAATGGAAAATTCTTGGTGTACATTATGGACACCATAATCCTCTAATAGGGGGCGCCATGTGTACATTATGGACACCATTATAGTGTCTATAATGTACACTAAGCACATCTCAAAAATAATTGTTACATGTCGAAAAATATTTTTTGAAAGCGTTTTTCATTACGACAAATTTGGAATAGTGGCGAATCTTCGCTCCCGCATTGCAAGAAAGGTAAAGAAAATAAGAGTATATTATAATTCAAATATGGGAAATGGGATTCACATTGCATAGAAGACAGATATATATTTAACAAATTATAAAATAAAATACATATATTTTATTCATCATGAGTCAAAACAACTTCATTTTGAAATTGCTGGTAGAAAGTAGTCTCATTTTTATAATGAATAAAAATTTCAAGACTGCTATAATTCTGAAATAAATTGAACTCCATCAAGTACTGTTTCAGGGAATATGAGGAAAATTATGATAAGTGTTTATGATTCCATATTTTCAATTTTGCACTATCCAATTACCTAAAAGATGTTTCAATTTAAGAACATTAGATTGTATCATTGACTATAAAGATTTAACATAACAATTATATTGAACGAAAAAAAAAATTTAATACTGCAGATGTCATAAATTACTATTATTAACCATACATAGAGTACATAAATCAAATTAAAATGATGTTAATAATGTGCAATATTTGTGCAACGTGATGCTTATGCTCATCCGATGCAATGTGTTTAACAACAAATAATTTCATTCGTCAAACTATAATACTACCAAATATACGTACTAATTTTATGCCAACACAACTTCAAAGGTTAAAGAAATACTATTTCCATAGTTATGAAGTTCTTATTTCGTCTTACAAACATGCCTTTAGAGACTTGAAATTTTTGGCAAGAATCTGAATAAATTATTTTCTTTCCAAGAAAATGATGATAAACTAGTCATACATTAATTACGTAGTATAATAATGCAAGAAAGATGCGTATAAGTAGAGATTATATAGTGAAAACTCCTTTTTGAGCTGGTATAATAATACCAAGGCTGAACAAATTATGAAATCAGGACTAAATTTCAACCAAACAATTAAGAGAGTGATGTTTACAAAATTACACTACTTAAGACATGGAAGTGATATATTAGCAAGATTGTAGATAATGCTGAAATTGTAAAGAGGAAATATCTACTTGTACATAATTTTTTTGTCTATTTTGTTGATAGAAGCAGTGTTGGCAAACTCTAACTTTTTTTTTCTTTTTCTTTTTTTGGGACAAAAACCAATGGCAAAATGCCATGTAATATTCTGTCAAAGTGCATGTATGGATTTTCTACACACATAGCAAGCATTTTGTAAAGAATGTTGGAGATGTGATGAACATTGTTTACCACATCGCCATTTATAGACCCAGAATTCAACATAAAAAATTGAAAATTGGAAATTTCAAATTCAAATTTAATGGCACCCTACGTGATGCAAGTTGCCATCAAGCAACCAAGTAGGTTGCTCAGCTCGACTCTTGAGCCGATGACGAGCCAGCTCACAAGTCGACTAGCAGCTTGTATAAGAAATCTGTTGCTGAACTCATTTTGGGACATGATGCGTAACACCTCTACATTTTTCCATATAGAGTCTGTTTGAGCCACATTATAATGAGAATGAGAATGAGAAATAGAACCGTTATGAACTCCACACCAGAGATAGAAATTCAAAAATGATGACTTGATGTGATGGATAACGGTCATATTTTTCATTTTAATGAGGTAAAAATGTGGGTCAAACAGGGGCATAAAATCTCTTTTGGAATCAAATTGGGAACAAAACTCTTTTTAAAAAGAATAATGTCATCTATAATTAATTGAGATGCATCACTTGTCAGGTGGCGATAGATCCCTACTTCATTATCCAATGCACTAAAGTGCGTCACAAGCAATGAATGAAAGGATCCATCGCCACCTAACCGATGATACATCTCTAACAGATAGCATTGTTCTTTTGGAAAACTAACTAGAGAGTAAAACAAGCTGATTGGTTTGATGATAAAGGGTCGTATTGAAACTTATTACTAAAATGCATATACAACACAACATTTACTAGAACATCGCATTGTCTTGGGACTGCTGATACACGACCCTTCTTTCATCGTCCAACGAGCTGCTATACAAGATCGTTTATAACAATCTATTCATCAAACTGCTATGCCTGACCTTTCTTTTTTCTTCCAACGAGCAAACGATTACTTATTACAGACGGTTTCTGTACTTCGCCAAAATGAAGTTTTGGATGGCAAGTAGTGCATCAGACAGGAAAAATAAAATAAAAAATAAAAATTACACTATGCTACACCTTGTTCTGTACATGAATATTCTTTTTAATTATTTAACATAGCGGTAAATGTACATACAGATGATAATATCACAAAAAGAGCAGTGATACATAGTATATAAGAACTCCTTTTACTTTTAATCAAGCTAGTTTGATATTCGACTCTCCAAAAAACCTGCTGTTCACTCCTGCTCTATATAAATGCAGACCTGATGTAGTTGCCACAGTGATCTCAATGTTAGCACATGCAAAAAGTACGTCGCCTTCAGCAACCGACTCTTCATGGCTTACTGTCCGTATTTTTCCCTCTCCTGCCATGACCAGAAATATGGACGGACCAGGGACTACAGGAAAGACAGTTGATGCTCCTTGGGGAAGGAAACATCGATCAACCTCGAATTCGTCAAATGGAGGGATATATTTTACTGTATAAGCATTCAAAGCAACTCCTTTGAGGACTTGTGGCAGGCCCTGCAATAACAATTGAAATGCAAGGAATTTCAAGACTGTGCTGCCGATGTCAAGTGCAGATTCTTCAATAAAATGATTAAACCTGTGCATGGCTACCAATTGAGAGCAAAAAATACACTGAAATATTTCACGTGACTTAATCTAAGAGCATGTTTGGTACACAGTTATGGACTGGACAAGAGAATACAACAGACAAAATTCATTTTCTTTTTGTTCTTTAATACTGTCCAACTCCTCCAAAGCCATAAGGAATAAGAGTATAGAATAACATCATAAGCTAACGTATAATTAAGAGTAAAGGGGAAAAAGGGAACTAAGTTGTAACAAAATATTGTCTTTAGTAAATTTGCATATCATCACCTGTTTGTATGTGAGCATGGAACAGAGAGTTTGAACATCCCGATTCTTTGGAGTAAGGCCAGCACGTACAACATTGTCCGATGCGGCCATGCACTCGATGCATTCACCATATAAATAAGCATGAGGTTCATTCGCCCCTAAATATAGGGCTTCACCTGATTTAAGCTTAATGTAATTAAGAAGGAATGCTGCTAGAACACCAACATCTCCTGGATATTCCTTCTCAAGCCGCAATACCAGCTCTTCCTTGTCAGTCAACTCTCTCACCTACAGACACGAGAATTATTTGTTTGCAATTCAGTTTCAAAAGAAGATTATAGAAATATAGATATATCTTATATGACCACACAACAAAATCAAGGTCCCTCAGTAAATTTGGCATGCAGAAAACTTTCCAGTGGTAATGCCGAGACAGGCCATGAATTTTATTTTATTATTTTTTTAATTCTTTTGAGAACCATGTCAGGCCAGTGGGAACATGGCCTGCTCAATTTACTCCTAATGCAACTGCAAAAACTTGCTACATGCAATTAAGGGTGAAAAGAGAAATTGGACAAAAATGAAGTTTTAACTCTGAAATAATGCTAATGACAAGGACAAGCATCTCAAGCAGTATTTGACTACAGAGATGAAAAATGAAAGTCAACCTAAAATATTTAAGGAGAGAATTCCCATATACCTCATGTTTTACATTTAGTCGACTTATCAACTTGGAGATTGCTTCAGAAATCACAACCTTCTTAGCTGACATGAGGTCAGAGAATATGGATCGCAAAACCTCTTTCGATTTCTCTTCCCCATCCTCTTGCCTGATGTGCAATACTTGATCTGCACGTGCACTGCCAACTACTTCCACAATCTCAGGTACATTGTGAACAACAAGCTTAAGCTCCTAAACACAACCAAAGCAGCATCCAAGTAAATGTATTGAATTTCTAAAAAATGATAGTAACAACAAGCTTAAGCTCCTAAACACAATCAAAGCAGCATCCAAGTAAATGTATTGAATTTCTAAAAAAATGATAGTATACAAAAAGATTTGGGTCCTTTTAACTTATACCAAGCAAAAAAATATTTGCTTTATTAATAACATTTTATTCTTCTCATAAATGCCCTCAAAATTTTCTAAAATTGCCACATTTGTGTAAGACACGCATGGAATTTCGTGTTCTTAAATGTCATGGTTTAAACAAATGACAGAAATAGCATAAAAGCACGGACTACATTTATTTACAATTGACATCATTGAATAATAATACAATTGGTTGATATCATTCTCACACAACAAGTGTCAGGCATACAATTACTTCGCCTAATAATCCAATGATCGCGATTAATAGAAACCACATCACCAGGGTATCGTGAGAATAATAATAACAGAGGTCAAATGATCATGTTTCCACCGGATTTCATCAAGCATTACACTGATCACAAACAATTTAGATCTTACTTCAAACCGATTTTTCTGAAGTACGCCATAAGCAAAACTAAATCAAAGACACGATTGACATCAAATGCTAGGTTAGAATGAAAAGCACTTAAAGTCAATATATACCCTGCGATAAGGGCAATACTTGGAGCGTGTTTATCATCATCTTGATGTTCCAAAGCGAAGACGAATACTAACAACACAACTCAATCAGCTTGCAAACATATGTTTAATTAAAACATGCAAAACCAAAGAAAACCATGTTCAGATCATGAATGGAGATGCAAATGAATAAAAAAACACTATTCCATCTAACTGATTAACAACTGAAAACAAGTAAGAAATGTATCTCCATTCATTCTTCGGTCTTACAAGATATCAGTATGAATGGCTTAAAAATTGAAACAACACTTTCAAATAACAACACATCATGTTAGAGACGACTTATAGAAACGGGCTATGTATGGGTTGGTTTTTGATATATTTATTCAATCAGTTTTAACCTACAGGAGCGTGATCAAAACACAATTTATATGAACAAAAACTTTGATAGAGTTTCGATACATATAAATGTGGTAAATGATTACGTAAAACGAGAATTAAGGAGTAGAAAATAGAGAATAATCTAAGGCGAGACGCTATCTCTTTGCTTAAAACAAATTGTCCCGTTACGGTGCTCACGGTGAATGACATTTGTGTTCCAAGATATAATGAATTCACAACTTGTGGTAGCAGCACTTCAAACCACAAGAAACCGGCGAACTTTTGACAAAATTTCTCCTCTACAAAGGAAATGCATGAAAATGTTATAGAAATAGAAATGAGAGAATTGCAAGAGGAGAATGGGTGCTCAATGCAATTGGTATACCCAAAACTATGTCCATAAGGTCCTATTTATTGATGTAGAAATGGTGCAAACAAAGTAGTGTGGGCCAAAACATGCATCCTTTCGAAAAGTTGCAACCCTTCATTTATTCCAACTTTGGACCGCAATTCCTCATTTCATTCGGAATTGATTTTGAGATTTCAAATATACTACAACGATCTACTCGACGAGTAGAATAAGTTGGTCTATTTACTTTTGTAATTTGACCATCGGATCAAGTTCGAATATTTGGTCAAAATTGACACGAAATCACACTTTTTCATTTTATACTTTTACACTTAACCAATTTTCGGTTAGTTTTGAACCAATTCCAACACATCATAAGCGAATTTTCAAGCTGATATAGACATTCATTCCAATTGCAGTAATTAAACCAAATAATAAATATAATCAACCAAAGTGGTGAAGACGAGTACAGTACCTCAGGACTAATAAACCCACATAAAGCCTCGAACTCGGTGAGTCCCAAAGCCATCTCAGGCTTGTGATTGTCATCCTTATATATGTCCGGATGTTGTTTATGAAGAACTTCAGCCAAAACTTTATCTGGATGAGCCTGTATCGACAACGCCTTTGCCACTGAAAGTACCTTCAAAAAACCAATTCGTCAAAAATGAAACTTCACTTTTTTCCATAAATCAATAGATGAACATATTTTTTACACGTCAAAAAAAAATCCCGATTTCGAAAAGTAAAAGTAACGTCCAAAATCGACGATGACTAGGAAATGAATTTCCCAATAGAAGTGAAATAACACTAAATCCCTCCAAGATAAATCCATAATTCGAGCAGGATGCAAGGGTGAGCATACCTTGAAGAGAAAAGGGAGACTGTGGCCCCATTTTTGCAATACTTTATCACCAATCACACTGGGGTTCTGCTCAATCCAATCCTTTAAATTCACCAAATTTAAGCTATTCCCACTACTCACGACTTCATTCTCTCCCTGAGCCACCGTCACCGGTGTCACGACGGCGTAGGACGGCCCGGACTCGTGGGTCCCCATCCAGAACTCAGCATACGGCTTAAAATCATCTGCTTCTTCTCCACTGTTCTTCGAGTACAACTGCGCAACACTTGAGTCCCTCCCAATTTTACCCCAATCATAGTTCTTTACACAGCACTTAAGCTTAAAAATTCCTGGATTCTCAACCTCCATGGGAACTGAATTCCGAGTTGTAGAGAGAGAAAGTAAGAAAAATGGATAATTGGGTCTGAGACTTTGAGTCCATTGGAAAAAGAAACGGAAGTTTACTATTTGAAGGCAACAATTCGAGAGGGAAAGCGGAGAGAGAAAGTAACGGCGCGTGAATTTTCTTGGCGTTATCGTTAAATTTGGGAACACGTCACGGGAATCATCGCCAATGGAGAGAAAATTTCACCATTAGTCCTCAACATATTGTTCCAATAGTAAGTTAATATTTAATCTTAATAAATTAGCAAATTGGTCCCCAGTTATTATCATTGTTGCAATCAATGTTAAAGTTGTCATGTGGTCATAACACAATCAACCTTATGAAGTTATGTTTGTTCTCCTACTTTCGTTATCATCCAAAATTTTGAAATGTTACATGTATTTATGAAGACCACCTAACATTTTCTATATTATTGATAATATTATTAAAGTGTGATGCTACATGTACACTTTTGGTTGTACATAATATTTTACACCATCTCAAATAGAAATGACCCATATATAATTTATTATGTGTAGACCCCCCTCCATATGAGAGGGGTGTAACCCATTAAGTTATAGTAAAAAAAGGTAAAAAAATCAAAGATTTAAAAATTATTTTAAAGCGCCTAATACTTGATAAGAATAACTCTTTGACCATTTACCCTAGGACCAACACGATCTAAATGGGGCTCCGACGTTTCATGGACCTGATCGTCCACTAACTTGTCCAAAAGTGGACTGGCCCGAACCAAATTCATTTATTTATTGTGTTATTTTAAATGATAAAAAGTTTCGAATCTATGAAGATTTTACATTTACTTAATCAAGACAATAATTAGACCTAATTAAAGAAGTTAATTACTACCTCGATTACATCAATGTAGAATTAACCTAATTTGCCTTATTAAATCAAGGCAATACCAATTATGTATAAATTGAGCTAAATTGGTTTTGCATTATTTTAAAGTATAATGCTATTTAGTATAAGTAATGCATACACACTCTATATATCAAGGTATATGAAATTAAATGATACACTCAACTAAAATGCAGATATACATGACTAATTTTAGCATTTAATTAACTCTATCATATGTTGATGCTAGATAGCATAATTATTTAGACACTGCAGAATCATTACTTCCTTACTTAGATTTTCTAGTAAAGACAGATTAATATTATTGCATTAATTAGTTCTTAAATCGTGCACTGTCCAGTCTCTAGTTGATTATCAATTCGGGCATAGTCCGGTGTGACGTTTCTAACTTATACTTTCTCTGCTAAATAGATTGATTGAATAATAATGATGAAAATTTGGAGACTAATTTGATATCTAGACAATAAATTGGGGACCAGAGATGCAATTTTGGTAAAGAATGGAGGAAAATTATTGTCGGGGTGACGCATGGCATTACCAGTTGGAGCCAAGCGTCGGTGGTTTCGTCGCCAGAAAATTAACATGGCAGTTGCAGCTTTTGGGCCCTTCCAAAGGAAAATAATTTTGGGGCCCAATTATCGAATTTTTTTTATTTTTAACCTTATTTTAAAACGACACGCATTGTTCTCGTTTTAATTTTTATAATTTTTAATGGCATTATAAACTAATATTCTTATATTCCAAAGCTAAATTTAAATCGCAATAAATTAATGCACATGAATATATGATACAAATTGTCTATTAAAGTATTAATCCCATCGAAGCTATGCTCATGTTTGGTTTAACTAAAACTAAGATCAATATTTTAGTATATTTTCATAAAATTTGATGAAATTTATAATTAAAAATATGATAAGTTCTGTGTCCTATTAAATGCGTAATTGAAAATAAATTTAAAAAAAAAAACTGAAAACCAAATATGGGCATAATTAACTTATAAACAGTACAATAAAAATATTTACGTGTGTGTGAATTATGATTAGGTATTGCTTCTTTATGTTAAAAACTAGTAGGCCCATCGACACGAAATTAGATTACTAATAATGTAATTAGATGTAAACGTCGATAATTATGTATAGATTTTTCACCACAATCTCACTTCAAGCGATGAATTAAGCAACACTAATAACTTTAATTGATAAGCTCGACTTTTCTTTAAGAAAGAACAAAATAACTATTCAGAATCTTCCTCTCCTTATCATGGTAGGGACGACTATGCCAAGTTGCGAAAAGAATTTCAAATTCCATTCGATTGTCAAAAGATCTTTAGGTGTGTGGGTCTTAAATATAAATAAGAAGTGGTAAATATTTATAATTAGACTCAAACTATCAAAGGACAAAAACAGAAGTTTCTTAAAAGTTATAATGTGGTTTTAGAATTTGTAGGTAGGGTCAACGATGATTTGGTTGGGGGAGAAATTTACAGGTACAACGTTATCGTCAAATATTTCAAGATTTGGGATTGATGTCGAAGATTAATGCATTTGGCGTTCGATATGGCTTTGCAATTGAGAATTTTGGACCACTCCACCGGTTTGTGTTATAACAAGTTGGACCATCCTTTCTAATTTTTATATTGTTATTGGTAAAAAGTCATTTTTTAGTTAAAAGAGCATAAACTTAAAAAAAAATTAAAAAATTGAAAAAATGAAAGATAAAGATAAGTTGGTATAGCTGGGATGAGGTGAATGGATGGGGTTGGCAAGGCCAAGGATGGTTTAATTTTATTTTTTTTTCTTGATCAATAAAGACCTACGATGTTATCGAATTAGAAGGTTGAGGATAAATTATCACAAAAAGAAAAAAAGAACAAGAACTAAGTTACCACAAATATAATATATAAGAGACGAATGACATATTTTTTAATTTGTGATTTGACATCGGTGCATATATAAATATAGTAACATGACTATAGGACCTTTTTTCTGTGGCGATACTCTAGCTTGAAATGAGCGATAAAATCATTTATCGTCTAAACTTGGATTGTACAAGTAAGGGTGCCCAACCAAGTGCATACCCTTGACCCTTCTTGGTCTTCCATGCTCTAGAGGTGGATTTTTTTGGGGGCCGAATACCCCAATTTACCCCTTGATCTTCTTGCTGAGGTCTTTAATCCTTTTCGATCATGTCCTCGAGACTCAGCACCCTAAATATATTGAGAGTACTATTACAATCCTATTAAGTTATCCTTGTATCTTCTTTGTCCTAACTACATTGGAAGTTCTTTATCATCACGAGTCCAATTCTATCTAGTCAATTTAATATTCCACATGTTCTAATCCTTATGAGAACTACTCATGTGCTCTATAATGCTTTAGCATTTATTCATTTTACATTATGCTTTTCTTTTATTCCTGGTTCCTAGCCTCAAGCTAATATCACTTTCATTTGTTTTGTAACTTAAGTATTGGAGAGAAAAATATCTATGCAAGACAATATCGTTTTTAGGAAAAAGAATTAAACTCTCGCCTTAACAACATTCAAATTTTCCACATCCTTTTTTTTTTTTTTGGAAGTCATTGATTTTATTAAGGCCATGGTTGGTTGGATTTTAATCTAAATCAAAATCAACAATCAATTTTAACAACATATTTCATGGGTTATACAACTTTTCAATCTTACATTTCATGGATTCCATAAGTTTTCAACCACCAATTTCATCAACTTTTATCAAATCTACTAAAAATCTGATTTTTAATCTCCATTAAACAAGGGCTAAGTTGTCATTCTGCTCCCTCCATTTTATGTAAATTCGTATATTTTTTGGGTTGTTATCGTAAAAGAAGTGAAAGTAATTATATTGTATTAAACTTAAGAGATTTGCTAGAAATCCCGGGACAAGTATCATTTTTCTAAATTTACTTCGATAGGTACTTGATAGGATAAACACATGGTCCCTTATTCGTTTCCTACATTGTGTCGAATTTGTGCTTCTTTTGGATTGGTTTAGTTCATCGTTTAGTAGACATGTCGAAGTCTGATAAATTTCTTTGTTTTCATGGTGGGTCTACC